GTGTGCACCCACGTTATGTCTTTAATACACTGGGGTCCGGGATCGTGTGCACCCACGTTATGTCTAATACACTGGGGTCCTGAGATTGTGTGCACCCACGTTATGTCTTTAATACACTGGGGTCCCAGGATCGTGTGCACCCACGTTATGTCTTTAATACACTGGTGTCCCAGGATCGTGTGCACCCACGTTATGTCTTTAATACACTGGGGTCCCGGGATCGTGTGCACCCACGTTATGTCTTTAATACACTGGGGTCCCGGGATCGTGTGCACCCACGTTATGTCTTTAATACACTGGGGTCCCGGGATCGTGTGCACCCACGTTATGTCCTTTAATACACTGGGGTCCCAGGATTGTGTGCACCCACATTATGTCTTTAATACACTGGGGTCCCGGGATCGTGTGCAACCCACATTATGTCTTTAATACACTGGGGTCCCGGGATCGTGTGCACCCACGTATGTCTAATAACTGGGGTCCCGGGATCGTGTGCACCCACGTTATGTCTAATACACTGGGGTCCCGGGATCGTGTGCACCACGTTATGTCTAATACACTGGGGTCCCGGGATCGTGTGCACCCACGTTATGTCTTTAATACACTGGGGTCCCGGGATCGTGTGCACCCACATTATGTCTTTAATACACTGGGGTCCCGGGATCGTGTGCACCCACATTATGTCTTTAATACACTGGGTCCCGGGATCGTGTGCACCCACGTATGTCTTTAATACACTGGGGTCCCGGGATCGTGTGCACCCACGTTATGTCTTTAATACACTGGGTTCCCGGGATCGTGTGCACCCACGTTATGTCTTTAATACACTGGGGTCCCGGGATCGTGTGCACCCACGTTATGTCTTTAATACACTGGTTCCCGGGATCGTGTGCACCCACATTATGTCTTTAATACACTGGGGTCCCGGATCGTGTGCACCCACGTTATGTCCTTTAATACACTGGGGTCCCGGGATCGTGTGCACCCACGTTATGTCTAATACACTGGGGTCCCGGGATCGTGTGCACCCACAGTTATGTCTTAATACACTGGGGTCCCGGGATCGTGTGCACCCACGTTATGTCTTTAATACACTGGGGTCCTGGATCGTGTGCACCCACGTTATGTCTTTAATACACTGGGGTCCCGGGATCGTGTGCACCCACGTTATGTCTTTAATACACTGGGTTCCCGGGATCGTGTGCACCCACGTTATGTCTTAATACACTGGGGTCCCGGGATCGTGTGCACCCACGTTATGTCTTTAATACACTGGGGTCCTCGGGATCGTGTGCACCCACGTTATGTCTTTAATATACTGGGTTCCCGGGATCGTGTGCACCCACGTATGTCTTTAATACACTGGGGTCCGGAGATCGTGTGCACCCACGTTATGTATTTAATACACTGGGGTCCCGGATCGTGTGCACCCACGTATGTCTTTAATACACTGGGGTCCCAGGATCGTGTGCACCCACGTTATGTCTTTAATACACTGGGTTCCCGGGATCGTGTGCACCCACGTTATGTCTTTAATACACTGGGGTCCCAGGACGTGTGCACCCACGTTATGTCTTTAATATACTGGGTCCCGGGATCGTTGCACCCACATTATGTCTTTAATACGACTGGGTCCCAGGATCGTGTGCATCACCACGTTATGTCTTTATATTACTGGTGTCCCGTGGATTGTGTGCACCCACTGGTTCTTTCCTTATCACTGGTGTCCCGGTAGCGTGTGCACCCACGTTGGGGTCTTTAATACACTGGGTCCCGGGACGTGTGCACCCACGTATGTCTTATACACGGTGTTCCCGGGATGCGTGTGCACCCACGTTTATGTCTTTAATACACTGGGTTCCCGGTCGGTGTGCGAAGCCCAAAAAAACTTTAGAGTCTTTAATACACGGGCCCGGGATCGTGTGCACCACGTTTGTCTTTAATACACTGTTGTCCGGATGTGTCACCCACATATGTCTTTAATACACTG